AAAAAAAAAAAAAAAAAAAAAAAAAAAAAAAAAAAAAAAAGAGAGGTTAAGCGTTATAACCAGCAATTGCGCAAAAGAAATCAACATCAGAAAAAAGATCATCACTGGGGCATAAAATCCGGCGTTATTGGTGACATGTCTTATTTAGACGGATAGGCAGATAGCTGCTGCCAATTCTCCTTAGTCGTCTTCAGCTTGTCCGCCATCGATGATCTTCCTCCAATGTTGTGGGAGGCATACACAGACCAGAGGGAATGCCTTGATATCCCCAACGGGAGCGGGAGATGTAGCGGCCCGCCGTGAGCCATTAGATACACCACTATCTCGTTGCTCGCGGTGTCGAGCATCGCGATCCTCTGCCGTTTCGGGAATTCGAATACCAGTAGCCCACCCATCGTCCCAGATGCCGATCACTTTCAGCATTTCACCGCGGTCCAGCGCGAACTCATCACCTGCCCGAGGCTGGTATGCCCAGAGTACGGCAACCTTGTCGCCCGGATGAATGTCATCCTGCGAGTAGTAGTCTTGGAAGGCAGATAGCTGCTCCGACTGGCCGCTGGTCAGTCCGTCCGGTGACGAATACTGGCCGCCGGTTCCTGAACGAGGGGAGGAATCTGTGCCCGCACCAGCCAAGGCCGAGTTACTGGATAGCGAGCCATGGCGCTTTCCTGTTGTGGGGGGAATCTTTTTCGACATTGCTCCAGGGCTAGCACCGTGGTCGGAATCCGAGGTGTCGCTGTACTTTCCGCCACCGAACAAAGCAGAGTACCGAGATCGAGCGGGGGATGAGCTGGAAACTTCGCGCAAGGCGGACATCCTGGCGACTCGACCGCCGGGTATGGCAGCAAACTCATGCAGACTTCGGTCCTGCTGCATTGACGGTGACCCCTTCCTCTGGGGGTTGGGCTGATTCAGTGAGCTATCATTCTCAGCCCGGCGCCTGCGTCGCCAATAAATCAATGCCAACACGGCTAATGCGGCGAGAAGGGCAAACCCGGCTACCGAACCTATAACAATTCCCGCTATTTGCCCTCCCGATAAGTCATTGGAGCCTGCTGTTGAGTTGGACGCAGCTGTAGAGGTGAATATCGGGGGAAGTGTCGAAGACGGAACTGTGACGTTCGAACACCGAGTAGCAGCATTCGAATCTGTACAGCACGAATCGGTGGAATTTGACGATCCTGAGGCGCAATATGAACACAGTCCCAAGAGATTTGAACGATATCCACAGTTCTTAGGTTCGTTTTCGGCTCCCGTGATGCAAGTTACCGTAAGCGAATCGGCTGGCAGGGCGCAGATCGTAAAATCAGACCGAATTTGAGACATGTAGTCGCTTGCCTTTTCGGAGCAAAGATTAGTATCCGTAACTATCGCCTCTTCACTTATCGCCATTGATGCCTAAAACTAGTTAGTGAGAATTGCCAGGTAATAAATAATGAGGAGGGCATGGACGAACGCAAGTATCAGCGCAAAGCGGTCTTGACTCTTCATCTGATAGGTTACAATCACTCTTTGAGCTTTGTACCAGGCTGCTACATAAAACACTTGTCGTATAGCGGGCGTAATAATCGTCGGTATCCGTCAAGTTTACCCCCTGACAGCCCAAGTATTCCTCATACCTAGTAGATAGTGCTTTAGTAAGACATTTCCCTTGCCATTGCGGAATGAGGTACTTACTTTTCCTTGACATATCCCTGCATGACATAGCTGCTCAACTCATTGTCGAATTGCGTAAGGTTCGACACGTATTGCATGAAGGGACTAGGAAGCAATTAGCGCAATAAATTTTCCATCTCGGACGCTTGTACATACAAATCTGTATACAGACTGGAATTCGTCGAGACAGAGGAACTGTCAAAAGCAGGGCATTGTGTGGAGCCCGACAATGAGATACACGTGCTAGACATGGTTGGATCAGCACTGGCGACTGCCAGGTGCTTCTGGATGCGAAAATTGATATCGTAGGGCAGAACAATGACAAGCGGATCACGAGTCGGATATGAACATTCAGCAGAAGAGCGAATCAATTGTTTCCATACTCTTTTCCTTCTTTCGCGATCACCTTTGGGGTCGAATGAATGAACAATTGGGTGTGCGCAACGATGGTCTCTAAACCGAGTGGGTGCCAATTGTCGACGCGTCCAATTCAGTGCGACAGATATAATTGTAGAGAAAACGAGAACGAATGGTCGAATAGAGCACCAGGGACTCCACTGATGCGATTAGAACCCGGGGATGAACGAGTGTCTTGGTTGGGTTTATAGCAAGCAGTTGCCGGGAAGCACCCCAACGGCGTAGTCAAAGGACGGGGAGAAAAGCGCAGGATAATCGAAAAGTCACGGGAGGAGAAATGAAAAGAGGCGTCGATCCACGGCAGAAAAGGCAGGCGCTAGACAAGGAACCTGGAGGAAGGCCGTGCTTTCCCAGTCTGGGCTTGTCGTGATTGCCGCTTGGGTTCGAGGCCCCCCGGAAAAGAAGAGACCTAGAAAGTACCGGCAGGAACGGCGCGATTGGACTTCGATAGAAGTCGGTTCCTTCACGGAACAATATTGAATAATGGAAGAAGTGCAATGAACAGAAAAAGGTAAAAGGGCAGGAACACCAGAAGCACCAGAAGGGCCGCGACTGGAGAAGACTGACTCAAAAGGGGGACGGGGCGGGCGGTTCGCAAGAGTAGCCGGCGTCTTTCCAATTAAACTGCTCCACTGCAATGCGCTGCGATTGAGTCCCTCCGCATGAAGGTTCAGTTGCGCCTACAGATCGAGTTAGTTCACTTGTTGCGAGACTCGGTGTTATCAAATGAGAACTGAGTCGGAGCTCCACCAGCACCCGGAACTGAGGTACAAGAGCCGATCCCGACTCGGTTCATTATCACACCCATCAAACTTTCTGGAAGTAAAGTGAACACTTGCCTTTTTGCGTTTCACTTTGTCGTTGCAAGCACTGACTAACTCTTTACCTTGTCGCTTGCAGCAAGGATGCAAATGGTCAGACTTTTCTTCCACTCCCTGGCGTAGAGTCAGACCAAATAATGAGATCCTGCAGGGGGTGCAGCCGTCTTTGCAAGGAATTCAGGAACAAGCAGGCGGAAGAAGAGAAGAAAAGGAAGAATCAATGCAGGAACCGGAAACTTTATTGCCCTGATCATCGCGAGGAATTTGTGATGCATAGGAGCAGTTCTTAGGGATTATCTATCTCTGGCGGTGATCGACTGACGTGGCACACGTCCGATTTGAGGCTGTTGGTGCCAGAGGCACGGACTGTGCTGGACACAGCGAATGGCCCAGCCTCCACTATTCGGATGAAGTGTATCCATTGCCGTTAGCCTTGTTCAAGCCAACACAGAGCAGTGTTTCAGGTGTATACATCTTCGCAGTGGCATGTTTTCCAGCACTGTTAGGGAGTACATGTGCCAACTAATGACTATCTACCCTGAATCTGCACCCTGAACCTTTGTGGGAGAAAGGAACCAGGGCAAGCCGCAGCAGCAATTAAGGGTGGGCCTGGCCGACACGGGAGCAGAACCAAATTGTGCAACTCTATGGTACACTAGGAACCGCCTGGTTGGGCAAATATATGCTATTAATTTTCTGATATTTCCACAGCTGAAGCATTATCCCAGGGTGACGATTCTCAAGTGGTCGGGGTGTAAGCTTGAGACACCATCCGCGGAGCACTTGTCGGTGTACCCTATGTTACTTACATCCACTTTGGGCCGATCGCTATCGTCGCCTCACTCGCCTGGCTCTACAATACGAATGCCCACGAAAGACTGCTGCATCGCTTTCATCAGACTGGTCCCTCGAGTTACTATCCCTTTTGACCCTACCTCAGAAGATTGGCACGCTTGGTAGAGGCTTATGTACTAATTCAGATACATCCATATCTACGGCAATACAACAACACAACTGGCGCGACATCTAGGTGTATAACATGGCGTCGCAATACCTACCAATTATTCGAAATAGTTCTGCCCCAACTAAAGAATAGCATTGATAATAATACACCCTTGCGTGTCACGCATACGCCCTTTCCCGCACGATGCTAGGGTCATCTACCAGAGGCGAGGAGCTCGCTTACCACAGAATCTGGCATGCTGCTTCTGCGATTATCCGTCGTCGAGCTCGATGCTAGACCACTATGATCACTATCGAGATGCATCTCAAGGTCGCTCTGAGACTCCCATTCGGTTTTCCGCGATTATGTCCGACTTTAGGGATGTAAGAAAGCCGACCGGGCTGCTCTGAGTTACCCCACATATTCTCCGTAACTCTGAATGTATCATGGCATCTGTATCACATCTGGCTCTCTGGCAAGGAGACATGTTGAAACAACACCTAATCCTTGCAATGTGTCCTGCAGGAAATCATTCTAGGAAGCCAATGAGACAGATACTACGGGCACCTGGAGGCAACATATCCCGAGATTGAGGAAGCAATTGATCCATCGCCTGTCTGGTCTTGACACATCGTGGCACCAATCCTGTGGCTGATGTATGTGTAAAATATTGTCCGTGCTGCTCAGCCGATATCTAAGGTTCCGTTTTTGATTTCTACAGCTCACATTCTCGGGTATTCTCAGTTCGATCATTCCTTGGCATCATTTGAGAATAGAGTTTCGCTCTGTGGAATGCTTCTAGACACTTACAGAGGTAACAATAGAATTTGGCGTGAGTGGATTATCTATTTAGCTCAGAGTAAGCAGTCTAGTACTATCAAGTTTACTACTTCGTTTACGTGAGATCTGTTGATAGTTCTACAGTTGTAGTATAATCACTCCTAATCCTCTGACAGTCGGAGTGTAACTACAGTAATATGTTGTGGGCCAGGAACTAGTGGTATGTTTCCAGAAGCGGAATGGAGGAGGGAACGCAGTAGGAAAGATTATTATGATACGAATACCGGTTAGTAAGTACTACTACTTAGTATTAGTACTTAGTAGCAACTGGTGGGGAAATAGTACTGTGATTGGGGGGGCGGATTCACGAACGACAGAGAGTACTAGTACTATGTATAAATGTGCAAGACTTGGATGATGCTGCTAGTACTAGATTGAAGATTCCTCGATTGCTCAAGCCGAGAAAGCTCAACTACTTACCGTCCCAAGACGAAGCGATCTAAGCTATCTCTCAGAAAACGTGTCTATAAAAAGTCCTTTGAACTGGATAATCTTGGTTTTTAAGAGTTCTATACCAACGCTGATTACCCCCAGTTTCCCGTCTCCAGCAGCCTCGGGTGCCCAGGCTCCCCAACAGCCTATGCACATTCAGCCGTGAAGGGCGTAGTCTCCGAATCATCGTAAAAGAATTTTATGTCCAATGAAAGGAGTTCATAATATATACACATATACATGAAGCGTCATACTATCGCATCGAGACAATGATAAGAGAGATTAATGTGGTGAATCACAGCAGTAGCCGTGCCGTCAGGTGATATTAACGACGTCATCTGACTTGGAGGCTCAGGCAGGCATCCATCCATCCTTATCGTTCGTCATGCCACCAACTACCTGCCGCTTCAGGTTCATGCGTACTGTTCTCTTATACTAATCCCTACACCGTAGGATACCAACCAAGATCTTACAGTGAACACTTGCATGGTCAGGAGGTTGATCAATAGAGTACCTATTCTACCATTGCAGCCATGTGTGGTTCAGATATCTTTCTAGCAATTCTCGCTGTTTTCTTCCCCCCAGTTTCGGGTGAGTACTCATCGCACACTGCATTCATGAGGTGGCGCATGCTAACCGACTGGCTCAGTGTGGATCAAAGTAGGCATTTGCACGGCCGATTCCATCATCAACCTTGCTCTCTGCTGCCTTGGCTACGTGCCCGGGCTTTTACACGCCTGGTACATTATACTCAAGTACCCCGAACCAGATTATGATGATCCTAGCTATGAGCCTCTTCCTGGCGATGCGGAAAACGGTCGCGTAACATATTACTATGTTTCCCACCAACCGATCCAGCACCCCTCCCGGAGGGGCTATGGTACAATGCCGCCACAACAGCCCCAAGCAGCAAACGCCCCGCCACAGAACCGGCAATCTACCCCGAATCACCCTCATGAACAAGCCCAAGCTGGCAGCAGCAGCCAGGACCACCCGGATAGTCGCCCACCTCCTACCTATGCTGAGGCCGTGAAGGGAGATCATAAAGTGCAGGACTGAATGCCTTAGAGCAAGGGAAGACCGGCAGCTCCATTCGCATTTAGTGCGCTAGGAGTGGTCAGTGCCCGGAGTTATTGCTTCATGAGAGTCCACTCGCTATACACATCCTACTCATTTCTTGCTCCGTGGCTTCCATCGCTGGAGATTTTTTATGCAGTTAACTCTGCGATCACGCATAATGACGTTGTTAATCATGTATTGTCTACATCATTCTACCACTTTCTTTCGTATCAGCGGACTAGGACACCAGGCGGTTAATGTTGTTTCACGTTTGTTTAGCTCACTCTGATACCAATAAGATTACTCTGCGAACAGGATATACACCATGTAAAGCATAGAAAAAATCAAACAGACCCCCCAAAGGTCTCTAATAATGCCACGAGAAATAGTCTCGTCGGAACCAACAAAACCATCCCCAACGTTGCGCTACTAAAATACCCACCAGAACCGTGCAGAACCGCGGCGATTCCGCATGACCGCCTTCTCTCCCGGCGCCGAGCAGCATTCAAACCCACCCGATAATCCAGCACAACAAACGAACCCAGCGTCTGTCTGGTCGACGTCCCAGTGGCCTTAGCAACGGCCATGCAGTCTATGCCATTGCTGCTCAGGCAGTCCTTCAAATCAACCCTTAACCTCACCCGAGCAACCCGCCCAGTACGACGACCGCTCCTGCCCGCCGTTGGTCCGAACTCTCTTTACCCTGCACCGCGGAACTTCTCCATCTGCCTGCAATGTCAATTCCGAACTCAGTCCTCGCTTTACTCATCTGATCCCCTCAAAGATGGGAAGCCTGCTGAGCAGCCGAAGGAAGATGAAAGCCCAGTCATAGCTCTTCCCGCAGGGAACGTAAATCTACAAGCCGATGCGGGGAGTCAGCAACAGACTCCTCCCGCTGCTGCGGAGGCGGGAGAAAGTACACAGAGCCAGCAGCAGCAGCAGCAGCAGCAGCAGCAGCAAGATGATAAGGGCGAGGCCAATGGAAAGGGGTGGAGAGATGGAGGGCTTCCATCCTACATAGAGCAACGCAGGTCACAATTCACCAAGCGGTTCAGTGATGTGATGGACAACCTCCAATCCAACATTTTCGTGGCAGGCCAGCGATTGAACGATCTTACGGGCTATTCGGCGATTGAGACGCTGAAGAAGGAGATTCATACACAAGGTATGTGACGCTCTTATTCCATAACATTGTCATTATAGTATCGTTTCTAACTTTCGTCACGGGTAAACAGAGGAACGACTCCGCAACGCCCGCCTCCAAGTCCGTGCAGCGAAAGATGCCTACGCAGCTGCCATCAACAACCGATCGACCTCTCAGCGCGAAGTGAACGAGCTTCTTCAACGCAAACATGCCTGGTCCCCCACTGACCTCGAACGATTCACCCATCTCTACCGCAACGATCACACCAACGAAGTAGCCGAGCACGAAGCACAGGAGGCTTTGAGCCAGGCCGAACACGAGGCCGAAGAGGCTGCCGCACAATTGAGCAAGAGCATCCTGTCTCGGTATCACGAGGAACAAGTCTGGTCGGACAAGATCCGCCAAATGAGTACCTGGGGTACCTGGGGTTTGATGGGAGTCAACGTTCTTCTCTTCCTGATCTTCCAGATCGCCGTGGAACCCTGGCGTCGCAAGAGGCTCGTCAAGGGCTTCGAAGAGAAGGTCATCGAAGCCATTGAGAAGGAAAAGGCCCTTGATCGGATTCAGATCGTGTCTGCGCAGAGCCAGATGGCGCAGGAATCGTCTACTACATCCACCACCTCTCCTGCGACTCCCGAGACTGCTGAGACTACTACCGAACCGTCTGCTTCTACTACCGCAGACGAACCGATCTCTGATACCGATGCAATCGTCACAATCGAGAGCACCGAACCGGAGGTATTCAGTTCGGACCCAGCCGATGCAGAACCGTCAGCCAACACCACTGTCAGCAAACCCACACCTGACAATATCCGGGAGTATATCCAATACCAGCTCGCGCGCATCTCTCCACTCATCGAAACCCTGCGCCAATACCTCCACGATCTTTTCAGTGACCGCCAAGTTGTGCTCACACAACGAGACCTCTCCACTGTTGCTCTTCAAAGCGCTGCTGCTGGTGCGGCGGTGATTGGCATGTTGTCGATGATTATTCGGCAACGGTGATGATGAGGTCATCTTCATTGATCTGTTTGATAGCCTGATTGATGTAATTATTAGCATGTGATGTTCATCCTAGTCATTAGATGTACAGCGTTCAGATAAATAAATGTATAAATAGATAGACGTTTCAGATCCAATTGGTGTGCTCCTGTCCGTATTTCGTTGAATCTACTACTAGTACCTACCTACGTATTGGTAAAATAAACGGAACGGTGACCTCGTCGTAGTACAAAAGAAACCGGAACAGCATTGATAGTAGCGACTATACGAAACAAAGACAAGACATATACTCAACAACATCGAACATACAAACAGATAAAATATACATCTGTATGTCCATCCCACACATCTTCCCCAACGTCTATACCGAAGAACACAAAGGCAAAGAACACAGGGGGGGGGCCCTGAAGAAACAACGAGTGAATGATACAGGCTCTCTATGAGCAAGCGGAGGGAAGAAGGAAAAGGCAAAAAAACAGTGTTAACTGTAATAGAACAAGAGGCTCATTTTTCCAGGGTCCATATTAAAAACACAAGGTCTCTTTAATCTTGACAAAAAAAAAAGACACACAAAAATAGAGTAGAAAGCGAGAGAAAGAGAGAGGAAGGCTTTCGTCTATTGCACAAATACAAACCTTCTCTCTCCCTCTCTCTCTGTCTCTCTTTCCCTCTCTCCCCCTTCCCGACTTCTACTTCTGCGCTTACGGCCATCGCCCGATTCCCGCGGTCTCAGAAGATCGAATCAATTCTAAATCGTTTAACCGATGACAAGGGTGTCCTCGGAGGGGAAGTTGTATTGGGGAACCTCGAGGTTCAGGGGAGCGGGTCCCTTTCTTATACGGCCGGAGATGTCGTAGTGAGAACCGTGGCAGGGGCAGAACCAGCCGCCATAGTCACCGGATTCACCGATGGGGACACAACCAAGGTGAGTGCAGACACCTAGATGGGGGAAACTGTATTAGATGAGGGGACAATGGCGGGTCGGGGGAGAAGGGGATGTCGTACCAAGCATGACAAGCCACTCGGCCTTCTGGACACGGTCCTCGTCGGCCTGGGGGTCACGGAGGGACTGCCACTCGGTCTTCTGGGCCTCCTGGATCTCGTCCTGGGTGCGGTGACGGATGAAGACGGGCTTACCACGCCACTTGATGATAACCTGTTTCGGAATGGGTCAGATGCGATGCCGGATTGCAAAGGGGGAACGAGCCAGAGGACTATGGCTCGGGAATATGGAACATACGTTCTTGCCCTCGGGGATGGCACCGAGACCAATCTCAACCTTAGCCTGGGCGAGGACATCGGCGGAGGCGGACATGTTAACCAGGAAGTCTAGTGATTAAAGAGATTCCATATCAGCGATTTGTCCCGAGCGGTCAAGCACACATCCAATTCCCTTCAATTGTTCAACCTGATATCCCCGTCTCCTAGTCTTTCCGCCTCTTTCTCTCTTGGATATGCGCAACATTGACATCTCCAGAAGTACCTACCCTGGACAGTGGCCTTAGCACCGACGGCAGAGGCCAGACCGAGGGAACCGGCCATGAAGTAAGAGAAGACCTGGTTGGAGCGTGGGGGCTTCTTGGACTGGTATTTGCTGAAATCGGGGATCTTCAGGGTGGAAGAGTACTCCTTGGAGCTGCCGAAGGGGCTATCGAAAGTGGACTTGGAGGCATCAGCGACTCCCCTCCGCTGCTGGCAGGAGGCAATGGCGGCGCGAGAAGAGGGCAGTTGTTGCCGGGCGCAAGCGCGCAGGATAGAGCTGGAAGCGGCGGAGAGAGACATGGCGAGACGAGCAATTGCAATCAATTGCAATAGAGAACGACCGCAGGGAGGTGGGTTGGGGTGTGGGGGGTGGAGAGGGAGAGATAAGGACGGAGGGAGGATTTGATTTTCCCAAGAGGTCGAGGTTGAGGTCGGAGGCCCGGCATACGGAAAGAGTCGAACCAAAGCTTTCGCTACGACAAGCGATCGGAATCACGGGGCGTTTCATTGGCCCGTCGTCCCGTCTTAGTCAGGCTTCTCACCTGACAGTTCAATCATCACAGCCTATTACTACTCACTCCTATAACGAACTAATTAGTATACACATTTACTTTCATTCTTACTATCTACTTTTATTTCTTCAACAAACTATGTATCTTCATATTAATTCATTTCCTTTTGTTTTGTTTTGCTAAGAACTATATACCCTCATTACGCCATTCCGTCGTTCACTCCCTTCCTCCCGCTCATCCCGTCGTCCGTTCCATTCCGCTGCCCCCAATACTATCCGAATATTCCAATGCGAAATCAACTAGTTAACAGCATATTTTCAATTGACTAACCCACAGGTCGAAACCCAAGCAAAATAATACCCTCCCAAATAACTCCACCATGCAAAGATACACACATATATATATAATTCCAGAACTCATAATCGTCGGAATCCGTCACTGGTCCGTCATCTCGACATCCTGATCTCCAGCAGATGCATCAACCGTTCGATCCACCATCATTGTCACCGTTGGCGGTCGAGAACCCCTCGAAGGCTTGTCCTCTACTGGCTGTAGACTCTGTTGTTCCTCAACTTCCTCTTTCTCTTCGACTGCTGCAGGTATATTGCCGTTTAATGTGCGCTGTCCCTTCTCGGGTCCGGGTTCCTTTTCCTTTGCCCGTTTCTCCTTGAACTGCTTATAGGTGGTGGTTTTGGGGATCACGTCGGAGAGAAATTCGAGATTATCGATGCGTGATACGGCCGTAGCTGGAGATCCGTCCGTCAGTAATCAATATGTATTATCATCCCCTCTGCCCAGTGGCCACAAACCCAGGTCTTTGTATTGGATAAGCTTGCGCGGCTTCCGTTCTGATTTAACAACGTTGTGGCCTTGTTCGGTAAGGTATTGGATGAACAGTTCCTAATTTGTGGAAAATATATGAGTTGCTGATCGTCTCGAAATTGACTGAAGGGGAGAAAGTATCGTAGTCACGAACCGTGGCCATTGCGATCACAAACGTAGCGTTGCTCGAACATTGTACGATATCGTCATCTAATTGAATAATCTTCTTGATTCGCGAGACTTCACCTCAAGTTAGCCTTGTAGCTTATAGCGAACAGCGTCACACATACTTGGAAGTGCGCTCTGGCCCGTGATCTCTTGGGAAGACGATGCTTCCGCGGCAGCTTTGTCCTT